AGTCATTTCCACATGAATACATTCGCTGTTGTCGGAAGAAAACCTTGTATCTGCATTTTTGATGTTTTTCAGTTACCTGTTATACCTGTTATACTTTGCAATGGTGGGAAAATTTCATGATGAAAGCACTAAAAGAAATGACCCAAAATGACTCAGATAAATGTCTGGTTCCATTGACTTACCTTAAAAGTAAAGTAGGTTTTTTCCTTCTCCTGTAAAGTCATCATTTTGGAGATACAAGGTTTTCTTCCGACAACAGCAAAATATATTATATCAACACTATTATCACTTTTGGTTTACTCACTTTTGGCAATATGTGTGTTGATATAATTTTGTTAATGTGGAAATGAACAAAAATGCACATTCGAGTCAGGCAAATTTAATGCATGAGTTTTTTTCATTGTATTCTTTAAATGGTAATACAGAAAAGGAAGATGGTGAAGGTGCAGATTGGAAATGAGAGTGAGAATGAATAGAGAGAATGAGGGAGAGAGCAGACAGAGAGAGAGAGAGAGCAGATAGAGTGCCGCAGAAATGTGGGTCACTGGACTCAGTTATGATACGTGAGCCGCATCTAGACAGGAAAAGTACAAGGATATAACATCACCCATTATTCTCTGGAAACACATTCCTTTATTTCTTAAAGGGCCCATATCCTACAGTTTTCCTTGTATATTTTTTTCTCCCCACTTATGACATCTGCGTGCTTTTATGTAACCCTAGGACCATTTTCCAGCTTTTCTTCGTCCCACAGAATCAAACACTGTTTTGTTGTCGTGCCTTTAAGAAACACATATGTTAATGACCTGTCTTCTGATTGGCTGTCCTGTATTGTGCCTCATTCAAAGAGGGTGGAGGTTGAAACACTCCTTATAAATTCAGCATGAGTGGATGGGGCTAACCTGCAAGGCTAAATGCTGATATGTGTTGGTTTCCATGACATCTCAGTTCCAACAGGCTGCTCCAACCTTCATGGAAATAGTTCTGTATAGCACCAAAAAGGGTTCTTCTAGAATGATTTTTAAAAAGGTTCTACATAGAACCATGTACAGCACATGGCCTCCATCAGTCTGAAGAACTACTTCACCATGCAAAAAAACATCCAAGCATGGTGCAACCATTCTTCAGATTGAGGGATATTACGTGTTGTATATGGTTCTATATAGAACCTTTTTGCAAATAGTTCTATATAGAACCAAACAATTTTCACTACAACAATTTTCAAAATGGTCCTATGTTGATTTAGAACCATACACAATGCATGATCTCCATCAGTCTGAAGAACCATTTCACCATGCAAAAACAAAACAAAACAAACAAAAAAAAAATTAAGCTTGGTGCAGTCGTTCTTCAGACTGATGGAGATCATGCGTTGTATATGGTTCTATATAGAGCCTTTTTGAAAATAGTTCTACGTAGCACCAAAGGGGGCTCTTCAACAACCATTTTCAAAATGGTTCTATTTTGATTTAGAACCATATACAATTCATGTTCTCCATCAATCTGAACAACCATTTCACCATGCAGAGAACCATTTAAGCATGGTGCAATGGTTCTTCAGACTGATGGAGATCATGTATTGTATATGGTTCTCTACAGAACCTTTTTGACAATAGTTCTGTATAGCACCAAAAAGGGTTATTCTAGGACCATTTTCAAAAAGGTTCTATACAGAACCATAAACAGCACATGATCTACATCAATCTGAAGAATTTGAATGATCTTACCATGCAAAGGACCATTTAAGCATGAAATGGTTCTATATAGAACTCACGGTTCTAAATTTATAAATTAGGAAAACATTCTGATGATGTATCTTGGTGGACAGAAACTTTCTAAGAGTACCATTGCTTTGATGTGGAAACTTGGGGGGAATTTTTCAGCTATCTGGATGTATTTTTTCTTTTTATGACGAACTGGTGCTGGTGCTAGATCACTACTGCTAGCTAGCACCACAGATGCTGGGTACTGTAATAATAATAATAATAAACAGAACAGAATGATTACATAATATTGCTTAACAAAACAGATTACACACATTAATTGCTAGTTTTAGGTCAGAATGCCTCTTTAACAGTGTTTACATACTACGATTAAAGTAATGTACATGTGGTTTTGTTTATGATATGGGCCCTTTAAGGCTGTTTGTTTTTTTTCAATTATAAGTGCCACTCATTTCCTGAGAAGATAAAAATTTGAAAAGAAAGAAATGTAGAACAAAAAAGTGTGCCTCTTTGTTCTGTGCCTAGTTCTGAAAGTGTGACCAGGAGCTGGACTGACTGTTTTTTCTGCCACAGACAGACTCAGAGAAGCTGACCAACTCTAGATGCTCAAATTAGATGTTTTGCATTGAAAACAAGAATGATGAAATATTTAAAGCATTAAATTGACTTGATTAGAATGTGAATCTCCAGATTAATAAAATACAGTAGGTCAATACAGTTCTGCCTCTTAATTTACTCATATTTAGCAATAATTTGTTTTTTTTATATGTATATATTTTACGTGGAAATGATAAACACATTTGAATGAAGTCAATTCAATGCATCACTTTCAGTGTCGAATGGCTTTCATTTCTTGTTATTTTGCCGTACTACAGTGTTCCTGCAAAATTAAATCACTCTAATTTGTATTGCCTTAGTTCTAAGGGTCAGTACACTGTCTTGCTCCATCCAAAATTCTCCTGGACTTTCCATGCATTGAGGACCCTGGACAGTAAGATGTCTAACTGCTGAGTGTGCAAATGAGTTTCTTTTTAAAGCTTTGGTGTCATTTTTTCTTAAATGTCCTTGTTGTAAATACAGCAACTCAAATAAAGGATTTATAAATGATTTCTATGTTTTCTCTTTCATGAATTATAAAGATAATAATGCCTTAAAGAACCCATCCGCTTCAAATCTCAGCTCCATGTGATATAAGGACACTACTCATGCTGCATTTTGTGGTCCTGAGCCAGCAGTCGCCATGGCAACAGTCACCATGACAACCGTTCCATCTCTCCTGATTTACAGCAGCACACATTTTTACCCTCCAACCTTCACCCACAGTTATTTAGCCCCCTCAGTGTAATCACTGTGCATACAGAATGTACCCTAACACACTCTCTCTCTCTCTGTCTCCCTTTCTCTCTCCCTCTCTCTCTCTCTCTCTCTCTCTCTCACACACACACACACACACACACATTTCCTTTGAAATAAGAGAATAAGCAGCTGTCTATTCTGCAGTGTTTTTTTTTTACTGCATCAGCATTTATCAGCTAACTATATCTGAGAGGGAGAGAGTGAGAGTGGGTGAAATAAAGAGAGAGAGAGAGAGAGAGAGCGAGAGAGAGAGAGGGCTAAAAAGAGAATAAGAGAGAAAGAGAAGGAGGGGGAGTGAGAGAAAGAGAAGGAGGGGGAGTGAGAGAGAGAGATGGAGGGGCGTTCATGTAACAGGCACACCTAATGTGACCCGCAGTGAATGTTTTCTGTTCTGCGCCACTAGGCGGCACTGTAGAGAGTTCAGTTGATCAAACAGCACTGCTGATCCCGCCTCTAAAATCGATTAAACCTCCTTTAAGATGTGTTGATACTACCGGGATTTTTTATTACATATATACAAGGAAAAAAAAAGTTATCTGTTTATGTAGAACCGGTTAGAAGTCTTTGGAATGTAGGCCAGGTGTGGCCATGTGATCATGCGTTAAGATACAATAACGAAAAAAAAAAAAATCTCTGATGGAGACAAGAAGACAAAGGCTATGCGTGCACTGCATTAATTCCTATGCCAAAAAAAATAAAATAAAAATAATAATAAATACAATAAATAAATAAATATTATTAGTACAGAATTCTAATAATACATCAGAAAAATTAAGAAAGGCTGCAACGTACAGGTCATACAAATTGAGATTCACACTAAACACTAAACACAACTTAAATATTTTTGCGCAGCACTTTGTACCTTGATTCTGCAGCATGCTGGTTCAAAGGGCGCATGCGCAAAGGCAGAAAGGTTTGCCTTTAAAGCGAACTTAAGGAAAAAACCTAAACCATTTCCTTTAAATTCGTTAAAAAAAATGTAGCACGTGTTGAATTTAAGTCTCTCTCTGTCTCTTTGTTTCTCTCTCTCTCTCTCTCTCTCTCTCTCTCTCTCTCTCTCTCTCTCTCTCTCCCTCTCTCGGTTCGGGAGCTGTCCGCGGTGCTGAATTTTAACCCAGCGAGTTTATTAGTTCTTATACTGTGTGAAAATGTTGAGAACGTAACAAACGAACTTCCTTTCAGATTAAATAATAATTATAATAATAATAATAATAATAATAATAATAACCTTTATTATTATAAATATCTTCAGGGTTCTTTACAGACAAACTGTATGGTTTAACAGTAATATAAAAATTTAGTTATAATTTTAAAATCATATAAGATACATATCAAATTAAACAGATAAATACTTGAGACGTAGAATTTTAATTAAACGCAGAGATACTGCAATTAAAGAGATACATTTTTAAATGTTTATTAAAAGTGAGCACTGAGTTTCATTGTTTAATTAAAGCTAAAAAGACACACTAAATGTTTTTGTGGCCAGACTAAAGGTTTACTATGCATTTATTTATTTATTTATGTATTTATTTATGTATGCATTTATTTATTTATTTAGCATTATTTCATTAAATAAAAAAAAATGAGTTGAGTATTAACGCAGTTAAATTGCTTGTTGTCACATTATGAGTATTTACAGTTTACAGTGTAGATACATTATCTTCTTATTATTAATGCTGTTAATATTCTTTACCCCAATAATAATAATAATAATAATAATAATAATAATAATAATAATAATACTTTATTTTTAAGAGGAGTTTTTGTTGCAGTTCTTGCTGTAACCACGCGATGGCACTGTGTACCAAGAAGTCATGAAAGACGTCGTGCTCTGAGCTCCTCCTATTACAGGCGAACCCGCATCCAACCGCAGCTCGTTTAGGTGGAGACGGCAGGGTGGTCTTTATTAAGGGAGGATCAGTGCTGGGAGAATTTTATTTCACAGCTGTTTTTAGTCTTTATTAAGGAAAAATAACACGTTTAATATCACTACATTGGGAATAACTCAGGCGCCATGGCTTCCTCCGGTGGGGCTGGATGTTTCTGGAGTATCTCCCTGTTTCTGCTCTCCTTTTGTGTCCGGAGTGCGACTCCTCGTCAGATCGTTTACTCCGTGTCTGAGGAGGTGAGCCCGGGGACGTTTGTCGGAAATTTAGCCAAGGATTTGAACTTGAAACTGGACGAGCTTGAGTCTCGCGCTCTCAGGATCGTTTCGCCGTCGTCTAAGAAGCATTTTGAGGTGAACATAAGAACCGGAGCTCTGTTCGTACAAGGCGAGATTGACCGAGAGGAGCTTTGTCCAAACAGCAACGTGTGCACTGAAAGCTTGGAAGCGATAGTGAATGACCCACTGAACGTGTACAGTATTGATGTGAAGATACTTGATATCAACGACAACACACCTGCTTTTCCAGGTAAATCTCAAAGCATCCGAATATCTGAGCACACATTTCCCGGGGCTAAATTTCCTCTGCTTAGTGCTGAGGATCCAGACGTGGGAAGCAATTCAGTAGCCTCGTATAAACTCTCAGCCAATCAGTATTTTAGCTTGGAGGTAAACACTGAGACTGACAGCGGTCCTTCTCCAGAACTGGTGTTGCAGAAAGCTTTGGACAGAGAGAAACAGGCTGAAATCCAGCTCACATTAACTGCGATCGATGGTGGAAAGCCAGCACGATCAGGCACGGCCAGTATTATCGTTAGCGTCCTGGATGCTAACGATAACGCTCCTGCGTTTGCCAAACCAGTGTACAAAGCTCAGGTTCCAGAAAACGTAGCCATTGGTACGTTTATATTAAAGCTAAACGCTACAGATCCGGACGAGGGCGTCAACGGTGAAGTGGTTTACACGTTCAAACAAGGCCAAAGAGGTATTTCAGACAAGTTCAGCATTAACAGCAGCACTGGGGACATAGCAATAGCTGGGCCTTTGGATTATGAGGAGGTTAACGCCTATGAAATCCGCGTGGAAGCGCGAGACAAGGGCCACAGTCCACTGGCATCCCATTGCAAAGTGCTAGTGGAGGTTATGGACATCAACGACAATGCACCAGACATTAAACTCTCCTCGCTGCTGGACAGCGTGAGTGAAGGCGCCAAAAAGGGCACCGTCATTGCATTCATAACCGTTCAAGACAAGGATGAAGGTAAAAACGGAAAAGTGCGCTGTTCAATTTCCAAAAACTCCCCATTTGTGTTGGAATCCACGCAGGGCAAATACTATTCGCTCGTGTTGGGCGAAGAACTTGATAGAGAAGAAAACGAGCTGTATAATGTGTTAATAACAGCCACAGATGAAGGGTCGCCGCCTCTTTCCAGCACTGCTGTGGTCACTGTCCGTGTTTCTGACGTGAATGATAACTCACCTCGCTTCCCAGAGCCATATATTAACGTGTATGTAAAGGAGAACAGCGCAGCAGGTGCTCTAATAGCGCTAGTCTCCGCACGAGACATAGATGTTGGTGAAAATGCTCACGTGACCTATGCATTACTCGACAGCTCCAACATGCCTTTAGCTTCAGCTGCGAACATCAACTCTGTGACTGGAGAAATTTACAGCATGCAGTCCTTCAACTTTGAGGAGATGAAGCACTTCCAGTTCCAAGTTCAGGCCACTGACTCTGGTGTCCCTCCACTCAGCAGCAATGTGACTGTGAACGTCTTCATCCTGGATGAGAATGACAACAGTCCAGTTATCTTACCTCCTTACTCTGAAGCTGGGTCAGTAAACACTGAGAACATCCCCTACTCTGCTGAAGCGGGATACTTTGTGGCTAAAGTCCGAGCTGTAGATGCTGATTCTGGTTATAATGCGCTGCTGTCTTATCACATCACTGAACCTAAGGGGACTAATCTGTTCCGCATTGGAAGCAGCACTGGAGAAATCAGGACTAAGAGACGAATGAGTGACCACGACCTGAAAACTCACCCACTTGTTGTGACAGTATGTGACCATGGAGAACCTTCACTATCAGCTACAGTGACTGTTGAGGTTGTGGTGGTTGAAAGTCTGGACAGCGTGCAGCCTTCCCTAAGACAAGTGCCGATGAAGGAGGAGGGCTTTTCTGATCTGAATCTGTATCTGCTCATCGCTATTGTCTCAGTGTCGGTGATCTTTCTGCTGAGCCTCATCGGTTTAATAGCAGCTAAATGCTACGGGTCAGAGGGCGGTTTGAGCGGGTGCGGCGCTCCAGTGGTCACTACACACCCTGACGGGAGCTGGTCTTACTCTAAAGCCACTCAGCAGTATGACGTGTGCTTTAGCTCAGACACGCTGAGGAGTGACGTAGTGGTTTTCCCCTCGCCGTTTCCGCCTGCAGACGCAGAGCTGATCAGCATTAATGGAGGGGACACTTTCACTCGGACACAGACTCTCCCCAGCACTGGGAAGGTAAGTGGCAGTGTTACTGTTCTTCAAACTTGAGAAAGAAATGCTGTAGGCTTTCGTCTTATAATTTGCATATTATGTTTCTCTCTTAAACACATTATTAAGAGGACAATTAGGAGGAGTTCAGCACCGCTTATTGGACAGCGACTTTCTTTCTCATTTTTTTTTGATGTGAACAGTATTTGTACACATTCCTGGAATGTCTGTCTAATTTCCGTCAGCATTTAAATTTGTGATCTGATTTGTATTATGATCTATCTATCTATCCATCTATCTATCTATCTATCTATCTATCTATCTATCTATAGGTCTGATATCAATCTGTCTATAGGTCTGATATCTATCTATCGATCTATCTATCTATCTATCTATCTATCTATCTATCTATCTGTCTATCTCTCTATCTCTCTCTCTATCTATCTATCTATCTATCTATCTATCAATCTATCTATCTATCTGTCTGTCTATCTATCTGTCTATTTCTCTCTCTATCTATCTATCTATCTATCTATGTGTTATTCAGTGAAACTGAAATGACATTAATGAGCAAAGTGAGCGAAGTCTGAGATCGTTATATATGCGGTTCACTGAAATTCATATTGTGCTTTTATACTTGCTTTTTTTGCTGAAAACCTTCCATTTCCATCTTAAACTTTTGGAAATATCAGAATCACCTGGGTAGATTATTTTGCTTTGTTGTTCTAATTTCTCACACGATGCTGCTGCGCTGCTTTTCATTACATTATGGTGTCTCATTATGTTTTCTGAGATTATTCTCGTTTCATTTGTGAATTCACACGTCTGCATTTCTTCACTGAGAGATTATCAGTTTATTCTCTGACTGTGTCTGTTAGCACCGAGTGCTGAACAGCGACACTCACAATCTGCCACATTTTACAGCTTTAATTCACTCCGTTTCTGCTGAGGAGCAGATGCACATTTTTTAATAAACCGAGAAATTAATTTTATATTCATATTAAACAACAATAAACTGCACAGGTTCATCTATTTTTGCTTGCTACGGAAATGTCTGCAGTGCATTTTTGGATGTATATGGTATTTCCTCTATTGGTCAAATCCACGTCTGATTGCTTTGCGTATAAAACGTATTGTTAGTAGTTTTATATGTTCATTTGAACTTAATGATCAATAACTGTCTTGCATTTCACGTCAAATCACGGAAACAAAGAAATATGTCGATACACTAAGATTAGTATAGTAATAATAATTTCACGTCATCATTTACAACAAAGATACAAGTTCATATGGGCGCAAATATGGCTAAATTTAAACCAAGGCATCTCATATTGTTGGAAGACAGACTTTGTCTAGTGTTTGTTGAAGTCTAATAAGGTGTTCCTTACTGTGTTTAATACATTGCTGCCATCTTCTTTTATTAAAACTCAGAGACAAATTATTATGAACACAATGTTCAATGTGAACTAAAGCAATAGGTAAAGATAGAACTATAAAAAAAAAGTATTGTTTTGAGTATATTAGATTCAAACGTGTACATTGGTTCCATATGAATGACACATATTACATCAATTTTATTTTACTTACTTTTGGCCAAAATTATGTTGATGTACTGTAAATTTTTTTACGTGGAACCGATGGACAGTTTTGAATCGCATACATTCAAAGCAACACATTTCAGTGGAACTGTCTTTTGCTAAAAATCATAAAACTTTCTCTTTTATGCACAACATGCCCACATGAGGGCGCTGTTTACCTGCAATAGGCTTTAAAATCAGAACCCTCCCATCAGTTATACAGGCAATCCCATAACTGGCTGGTTAGTGCGCAGAATAGAGGGGCTACAGTGGATTACATTCCTCTCCACGTTTTATTTTTAGTCTAGTTTAACGCTAAAGGTGAGGAGCAAGTTATTCACATTGGACGGAATCATTAAGGGCTGGAATACAAACGTAAATGCCTCTGAAATGATGGGGCGTTTATGGATCGCGTCTTTGTGTTGGATTTGGCTTTGTTATCGGCCCGTCATGTCAGGCCACGCTGTGTACTCTGTGTCCGAGGAGGTGAGCCCAGGCACAGTGGTTGGAAATTTAGCCAAGGACTTAAACCTCAATGTGGCTGATCTGGAGCCTCGCAGGCTTCGCATCGTGTCAGGGTCTTCGAGGAAACATTTTGAGGTGGATTTAAAGACCGGCGCCCTGTTTGTGTTGGATTCAATCGACAGAGAAGAGCTCTGTCCGAACAGCCCGACTTGCACGGAGACTTTGGAGGCGATTGTTAACGATCCCTTACAGATGCACAGCGTGGAGGTAAAAATACTGGACATTAACGACCACTCTCCTGTTTTTCCATGGAAATCACAAACTATTCGTGTTGCAGAGTCAGCTTTAGTTGGATCCAAGTTTCCTTTACTGGGAGCTGAGGATCCAGATATGGGAAGCAACACAATCAGCTCGTATAAACTGTCCCAAAATGCCTTTTTCAACTTGGAGGTCCATACAGATGCTGACCAGGGTCCATCTGCTGAGCTGGCGCTAATTAAGAGTCTTGACCGAGAGAAGCAGGCTGCAGTCCGGCTCGTGCTGACTGCTGTAGACGGAGGTAGACCACCGCGATCAGGGACGACCGAAATTAACGTTGTAGTTTTAGATGCTAATGATAACGCGCCTGTTTTCTCCAAATCCGTATATAAAGCTTTAGTTCCAGAAAATATTGCTGTTGGCTCGACGATTTTAACTGTAAACGCAACCGATCTTGATGAAGACGTTCATGGCGAGGTTACATATTCATTTAAACAAGGCCAAAAGGGAATATCAGAGAAATTTTCCATCGACTCCATCACTGGAGACATTTCAGTGGTTGGTGAATTAGATTATGAGAGCACGAGCGCGTACGAGATTCGCGTTGAGGCTCGAGATGGGGGCTCTACTCCACTCGCATCTCACTGTAAAGTCTTAATAGAGGTGGTGGATGTGAATGACAATGCACCAGATATTAAACTCTCCTCCCTGCTGGACAGCGTGCGCGAGGACGCTAGAAAGGGCACTGCCATTGCATTGATCACCGTGCAAGACAAGGATGGCGGTAAAAATGGAAAAGTGCATTGTTTCATATCTAAAAACTCTCCATTCCTGTTGGAATCCACGCAAGGGAAGTATTACTCACTTGTTTTAAACGGTGCTCTCGATAGAGAAGAAAACGAGCTGTATAATGTATTAATAACAGCCACAGATGAAGGGTCGCCGCCTCTTTCCAGCACCACTCTGGTCACTGTCCGTGTTTCTGACGTGAATGATAACCCACCTCGCTTCCCAGAACCGTTTATTAACGTGTATGTAAAGGAGAACAGCGCAGCAGGTGCTCTAATAGCGCTAGTCTCCGCACGAGACATAGACGTTGGTGAAAATGCTCACGTGACCTATTCATTACTCGACAGCTCCAACATGCCTTTAGCTTCAGCTGCGAACATCAACTCTGTGACTGGAGAAATTCACAGCATGCAGTCCTTCAACTTTGAGGAGATGAAGCACTTCCAGTTCCAAGTTCAGGCCACTGACTCTGGAGCCCCTCCACTCAGCAGCAATGTGACTGTGAACGTCTTCATCCTGGATGAGAATGACAACAGTCCAGTTATCTTACCTCCTTACTCTGAAGCTGGGTCAGTAAACACTGAGAACATCCCCTACTCTGCTGAAGCGGGATACTTTGTGGCTAAAGTCCGAGCTGTAGATGCTGATTCTGGTTATAATGCGCTGCTGTCTTATCACATCACTGAACCTAAGGGGACTAATCTGTTCCGCATTGGAAGCAGCACTGGAGAAATCAGGACTAAGAGACGAATGAGTGACCACGACCTGAAAACTCACCCACTTGTTGTGACAGTATGTGACCATGGAGAACCTTCACTGTCAGCTACAGTGACTGTTGAGGTTGTGGTGGTTGAAAGTCTGGACAGCGTGCAGCCTTCCCTAAGACAAGTGCCGATGAAGGAGGAGGGCTTTTCTGATCTGAATCTGTATCTGCTCATCGCTATTGTCTCAGTGTCGGTGATCTTTCTGCTGAGCCTCATCGGTTTAATAGCAGCTAAATGCTACGGGTCAGAGGGCGGTTTGAGCGGGTGCGGCGCTCCAGTGGTCACTACACACCCTGACGGGAGCTGGTCTTATTCTAAAGCCACTCAGCAGTACGACGTGTGCTTTAGCTCAGACACGATGAAGAGTGACGTAGTGGTTTTCCCCTCGCCGTTTCCGCCTGCAGACGCAGAGCTGATCAGCATTAATGGAGGGGACACTTTCACTCGGACACAGACTCTCCCCAGCACTGGGAAGGTAAGTGGCAGTGTTACTGTTGTCTTTTGATTTGGGCTGATCAGCTATGGATAGAATTGGAGTGGTTGTTTGTTTTGTTAGTTGTGGTTTGTTAATTTTTATCAAAGGTGTTTCAGCAACATGTTCCAGGCAGCGACAGACCTACAACAACCAGAATGTTGTAGCTGCCTCTTTCTTTCTTTCTTTCTTTCTTTCTTTCTTTCTTTCTTTTGAAGTGAGCAGTATTTACTTCACTTTTCATTTCAGAATGTCTGAGTTTTTGTTTTTTGATCAGCATTTAAACTTGATGATGATTATTGATGATGATGATGATGATGATGATTTGTTATCATGGTGTATCAGACTCTAGTTTGCCCAGTATATATCAGAAAAGATTAATTTGGAGTTTGTTGTTTGATGTTTGTATTGCTGTTAAAAGTTGAGGCCATTTCTTCAAGTGATTTCATAAGTTTTGAAAAAATGTTCTTGTTATGGATAAACTATGCATTGGGTACACTCTTAAAAAAGATGGTTCTTTAAAGTTTTTTTTTAAACAAAATGAATAATTCTGCTTAGAATCATGAGTTCCATGTAGGACACTTTCATGCTTAAATGGCTTTTTGCATGGTGAAATGGATTGATATGTGTTGTATGTGGTTCTATATCATGAATGTGTTGTATATATTTCTATATAGAACATTTTTGAAAATGATTCTATATAGCGCCAAAAACATTTCTGCAATTGTTATGATGTCAAACTTGTAACAATAGAACTCTTTTTGGTGCTATATAGAACCATTTTCAAAACCAAATATAGCACATTCACTTATAGCATCACATACAACACATATCAATCTGAAGAACCAATTCATCATGTAAAGAACAACTTAGACACAAAAAAGTTTATTTGTATAACTTGTTCTATATGCAACCATTCCCTTTACTATAGATCCCTTGAATAGACATCTTTTTTAAGAGTGTAGAATATTGCTAATTACTGTTTGTTATTATTAAAAGTTGTCAAGTCCAATTTCTGGCGACCATATTGCTTGTTTTTCTGGAATATTGTGCCTTCTCTTTTGGGTTTTCAGGCTTCTTAATGGCTTATTTGTGATTCCTCTAATTGTTTTTTTCATTGAATTGCTTTTTCTCATAATTGACAGCTTCTGGTTGGCTAACTTGGCTTCAAGTGAGAGACGAAGGTAGATATGGTTCTGGATCCATTTATTTCGTTAGGTGTTCAAAAGTCTTTGCAAACACTGAAGTTCAAGGGCATCAATATTTTTCCTTGCTTAGCATTCGCATCCATAAAGAACCACAAAAAAGACCATAACCTGGGCAATTCTGATTTTTGTTTGTAGAGACACATCATTATAATTTTTTTCAAACTCCTTTATCCTTTTTTTGCATTACTTTTACAACAATTAGTATGAGACAGTTTTCTAAGCTGTACGTTCTTATATTCTGTTCTTGGAGTTCAGTCTGAATGATAATACGTATTTAGCTTTGGGAAATAAAGGTAAACTCACTCGAAAGAGAAAAAAACAGTCTGTTGTATTTCGTGAAACCACTTGGGGTCGCTGCAGACCGTGAACTTTTATTACCGTGGGTGATTTGACTCTCCCATCTCACAGAATACCAGTCTCAGAAAGCCCCATGGCGCGAGAGAGATATCTGCATTGGCTGTGGTTTATAGAAGACGACGTCTTTGCATCGTTTGTTTGTTTGTTTCTTTTTCCATTGATGTGCGTCCGTTTGGAAGCTTAAAGCCTTCAGTTTTGTCCAAAGATGGATCACGTTGTGTCTGGGATTTTATTATCTCTTCTTTTGTGGGATTTATCCTCCGGTCAGATCGTGTATTCCGTCTCAGAGGAAGTGAAGGAGGGGACTGTTGTTGGGAACGTGGCTAAAGATCTTAACATCAACGTGCAGGATCTGGAAGCTCGTATGTTTCAGATTGTATCTAATAAGAAGTATTTTGGGGTGAATTTAAAGACGGGAGTTTTGTTTGTGACCGAGAGGATTGATCGAGAAGCGCTTTGTCCCAAAGCCCAGAGATGTTCAGTGCATATAGAGGCCATGGCTCAGAATCCGCTGAGGCTGTTTCGTATTGAGGTAAATATAATAGACATAAACGACAACGCCCCATTGTTCTCGGCTAGCAATCAAATACTGAATATAACTGAAATATCTGCGCTAGGAGAGAAATTCACTCTGCCATTGGCTGAAGATCCAGACACGGGCAGCAATACGGTGAAAAACTATAAATTAAGCCCAAACGAGCACTTTTCTCTGGATGTTCAAAATGGAGAGACAGTGCTTCAGTCGAGTTGGTGCTGAAGAAAGCTTTAGATCGAGAAACACAGCCTGTGATTCATCTAATACTGACTGCTCTTGATGGAGGAAAACCTCCGTTATCTGGGACGTTAGAGATCGTTGTTAATGTTTTGGATGTTAATGACAACTCTCCAGTTTTCAGCCAATCGCTTTACAAGGTGAAACTGAATGAGAATGCTCCGTTTGGAGCCCAAGTCCTATCACTCTCCGCAACAGATTTGGATGAAGGTGTCAATAGTGAAATTGTATACGCTATAGTGAGGCAAGGCAGTGCTAAAGGCTCTGATCTGTTTTCAGTTGACCCTGAAAGTGGCGTCATCACAGTGAAAGGTGAAATCGATTATGAGGAAAACGCTGCTGTTGAACTGAGAGTGGAGGCTAAAGATAAAGGCCAACCCCCTAAAAGTTCCCAGTGTAAAGTATTGGTTGAAATTATCGACGTGAATGACAATCCGCCAGAAATAGAGGTGACGTCACTCACCAATACAGTGAAGGAGGACTGTAAAGAAGGAACAGCAGTGGCTTTATTTACAGTTTCGGACAAGGATGGAGGTAGAAATGGATTAGTGCACTGCAGCATTTTGGGCCATGTACCATTCAAGATAGAGTCCTCTTACAGAAACTACTATTCATTAGTGGTGGATGGGCCACTGGACAGGGAGAAGGTTGCTGTATATAACATTACCATAAAAGCCACAGATGAAGGTACACCATCACTGTCTACCACCAGTGTCCTGTCTGTTCACATTGCTGATGTCAATGACAATGCGCCCCTTTTTCCAGAGCCCATGATGAACATTTATGTTAAAGAAAATAGTCCAGCTGGGGTTGTGATAGCAAATGTGAGAGCATTAGACAAGGATGTTAACGAGAATGCTCAGATATCGTATGCTTTGCTTAGTAAAGGAACCAAAAACATCCCATTCTTAGACATAAACTCAGAAAATGGTGACATCTACAGCAAACAGTCATTCAATTATGAGGAAATCAAATCATTCCAAGTTCAAGTTCAGGCCACTGACTCTGGAGCTCCACCTCTCAGCAGTAATGTGACTGTGAACGTCTTCATCCTGGATGAGAATGACAACAGTCCAGTTATCTTACCTCCTTACTCTGAAGCTGGGTCAGTAAACACTGAGAACATCCCCTACTCTGCTGAAGCGGGATACTTTGTGGCTAAAGTCCGAGCTGTAGATGCTGATTCTGGTTATAATGCGCTGCTGTCTTATCACATCACTGAACCTAAGGGGACTAATCTGTTCCGCATTGGAAGCAGCACTGGAGAAATCAGGACTAAGAGACGAATGAGTGACCACGACCTGAAAACTCACCCACTTGTTGTGACAGTATGTGACCATGGAGAACCTTCACTGTCAGCTACAGTGACTGTTGAGGTTGTGGTGGTTGAAAGTCTGGACAGCGTGCAGCCTTCCCTAAGACAAGTGCCGATGAAGGAGGAGGGCTTTTCTGATCTGAATCTGTATCTGCTCATCGCTATTGTCTCAGTGTCGGTGATCTTTCTGCTGAGCCTCATCGGTTTGATAGCAGCTAAATGCTACGGGTCAGAGGGCGGTTTGAGCGGGTGCGGCGCTCCAGTGGTCACTGCACACCCTGACGGGAGCTGGTCTTACTCTAAAGCCACTCAGCAGTACGACGTGTGCTTTAGCTCAGACACGATGAAGAGTGACGTAGTGGTTTTCCCGTCGCCGTTTCCGCCTACAGACGCAGAGCTGATCAGTATTAATGGAGGGGACACTTTCACGCGGACACAGACTCTCCCCAGCACTGGGAAGGTAAGGGGCGTTTTCGTAGTCCTGTTTGTTTGTGTGTACAGGTGCAGGTTTGAAAGGTGAAAATCTCTCTGTTGTACTTCAGCCTTGCGGTGACTGTTTTGAAGATTCGCTGATAAACGTTCGCTACACATGATATCATTATTATCAATAACATCTGTTCACAACTACATCGGTCATTAATGTGTGCATTAACAATGTTGGTTAATATATTACGTGTTTCATGAAGCGTCAGGTTTGACATGCAATTGAACACAATGTTTGAATCATATTTTTAAATACTTCAAAAACTTGTTTACATTTTTAAATTAATTCTTGTTAAGCAATTATGTAGAAGTTATTACAAGTGCAGTAACCTATTTGTTTCTATGTTACAAAGATAAATAAAAGTCACGTATAGCCCTAAATGATAAAAAAATCGGTTTATAAATTAATTGCACTCAAAAATATAATATTATAAAATATAACATAATAAAATAAAATGAAAACGGAAAACTTTATACAATGTTTTTTTTTAACATTCAGCATTGAATGAACAGAGGTATTATCACGGTCCACATTGGCTTATATTTTGAACCTGATGCTTTAAAATAAAATTAAAATGTGTTAAACTATTTTAAAAACGTGTTTCGTAACGTTAAAATAAAAATACATTCATGAACATTACTAACTACATTCAATACTGAAAAAACACAAAGCAAAACAAAAAAGAAAACAAATGAAAACCAAAAAACTTCATATTATTTGTTTAGAAAAAGTTTTGGTGAACTGAAATTGGTCATAATTTGTTTTTCAGCACTTTTGCAGTGGACAGCGGTCATCCAGTGTAGCTAGGTACTAAGTTTGTTAACTCAAACAGAAGAGAGTGCACTTGTTTGCATATACTACATTCATTAGTGCTGCACAGCTGGCTTTACTGATGAAACCCTTCAAACGAGGAAGTTCTAGGAAGTTCTACTTCCCATAAACCGTTGAACTGAATGCCTGTTACACTGTGTTTATTTAGAGCTTGGGTCTGTTCATCTGTCTGTCCGTCTCATGAAGAGTTCTTTGGCATACGAAAACTCTGAACTGGGCCAAAGTTGCGTTGCATTGGAAATGTACAACATCTGTTATTTTTCTTGTATTAAAATTCTCACTCAGTCTTCTGCTTGGAGCTTACAGATCATTGTCCTGTTTATTTGCGAGCTGTGATGTCTGGTTGTTCTTCTTTTGGGTCCTTGAGTTTCAGTGCTTTCTTTTAACCCTGTCAAATAGCTAAAGATACACTGGTTTATTATGAGCTCTTAAATTACATTGCGTCTGTGGGTCGAGTGGCTTAAGAATTGCTTTGAGATTTATTCATAAAAGGAAGATAGTCTACTGAGAAAAGTAATACATGGTATTTACTTACACATTATTTCCACCAAATAAATGAAATCATTTCAATTTCATGTATCAGTTTACATAACTTAGGCAAACCTCATTGGTTGCATATATTTTATTGATGAGGAAATTAATCGCTTGTTTAGATTGAATGAATTCAATGCAGCGCTTTCTGTCAGTATTCAGAGGTTTTTCCTATGAGCTCATTGGCTTTATGGACACAAGAGGTCGCTGTTGACCACGATTATGACGGCCAGCGTGTCCAATTCCAGTCCCCACCTTTCTTCACGCGCAGCAGAAAGGAGGAGGGCAGAGGGGGAGCCTTCTTCGACCGAGCATAAAAGCAATCGCTGTTCGGCTTCTGCTGTTTTATTGCAATTTGCGTCTTTTATTTCCGAACGGAGTTTTTAAGCGAACGATGGATGCCCTGTTTTTGAGGTCGTGTCCACTATTGCTGTTTCTCCTGCCTATGTCTTTGTGGGATGTATCTTCTGCTCAGGTCGTCTATTCGGTTACAGAGGAAGTGGATAAAGGGACCGTGGTTGGAAATATGGCGAAGGACCTTAACTTTAACGCTCGCGAGCTGGAGGCACGCATGTTTCAGATCGTGTCTGGATCAAGCAAGAAGTATTTCGAGGTAAACTTGAAGACTGGCGAGCTGTTTGTGAACGAGAGGATTGATCGAGAGGAGCTTTGTTCTTCGAGTCAAACGTGTTCGTTGCACCTTGAAGCTATTGCGCAAAACCCTTTGCGACTTTTTAGCGTTACTGTGAATATAATGGATGTAAATGACAACGCCCCGTCTTTCCCCTATAAAACGTATGATTTGAACATTACAGAACTTGCTTTTGCTGGCGATAGGTATCCATTGCCAAGGGCGAGTGATGCAGATGTCGGCAGCAACTCGGTTAAGAGCTACAAGCTTAGCAATAATGAATATTTTTCACTAAACGTCCAGAGCGGTGGAGATCAGAATCTCTCACCACAGCTTGTTCTGCAGAAAGCTTTAGACAGAGAAAAGCAGGCCATTGTGAAGCTCGTGCTCACTGCTGTCGATGGAGGTAAACCCCCAAGGTCTGGCACTCTTGACGTAACAGTTAATGTAATTGATGTGAACGATAACACGCCTGCGTTCAGCAAAGAGCTTTATAAAGTGAGCATCCCTGAGAATACAGTGTTTGGGACTCCAGTTATTAAGCTTAATGCTACTGATCTGGACTCTGGAGTGAATGGAGAGATTGTTTACTCTTTGATAAGCCACGGTAAAGAGAAGTGGGCAGACATTTTTGATATAAACCCCTCCACTGGTGAAATCACAGTAAAAGGGCAGCTAGACAGGGAAGATACTGCTGCGTTTGAGCTTCACGCGCAGGCTCAGGACAAAGGCCCCTCGCCTCGCGCATCTCACTGCAAAGTTTTAATCGAGGTGCTTGACGTGAATGATAACGCTCCAGCCATTTCCGTCACCTCTCTCACGAGCGCGGTGAGAGAAGACGCCACATCCGGTACTGCTGTTGGATTGATCACGATTGCTGATAATGACGTAGGGAAAAACGGAGAGGTCAGTGCTAAAGTTAAAGAAGTTGGTCCATTTATACTTCAACCTTCTTATAAAAACTATTACTCATTAGTGGTGGATGGACCTCTGGACAGAGAGCGAGTGCCGCAGTATAACATCACCATAATTGCTACTGATAAAGGCACCCCGACTCTGTCCAGCAGTGTTGTTCTTACTATTCTTATTATGGATGTGAATGACAATGCGCCTCACTTTCCAGACAGTTTAATGGTCTTTTATGTGAAAGAAAACAGCCCAGCTGGAAACATAATAGCCACAATGACAGCAAAAGATCCAGATATTAATGAGAATGCTCAAATTGTTTATTCCTTGGTTGGAAAGAGCAGTATGGAAGGTTCCTGGTCGCCTATGGTAGACATAAATCCCTTGAGTGGTGATATATACAGTAAACAGTCATATAATTATGAGGAAATCAAATCATTCCAGTTTAAAGTTCAGGCCACCGACGCTGGAGCTCCACCACTGAGCAGCAATGTGACTGTGAATATCTTTATCCTGGATGAGAATGACAACAGTCCAGTTATCTTACCTCCTTACTCTGAAGCTGGGTCAGTAAACACTGAGAACATCCCCTACTCTGCTGAAGCGGGATACTTTGTGGCTAAAATCCGAGCTGTAGATGCTGATTCTGGTTATAATGCGCTGCTGTCTTATCACATCACTGAACCTAAGGGGACTAATCTGTTCCGCATTGGTAGCAGCACTGGAGAAATCAGGACTAAGAGACGAATGAGTGACCACGACTTGAAAACTCACCCACTTGTTGTGACAGTATGTGACCATGGAGAACCTTCACTGTCAGCTACAGTGACTGTTGAGGTTGTGGTGGTTGAAAGTCTGGACAGCGTGCAGCCTTCCCTAAGACAAGTGCCGATGAAGGAGGAGGGCTTTTCTGATCTGAATCTGTATCTGCTCATCGCTATTGTCTCAGTGTCGGTGATCTTTCTGCTGAGCCTCATCGGTTTAATAGCAGCTAAATGCTACGGGTCAGAGGGCGGTTTGAGCGGGTGCGGTGCTCCAGTGGTCACTACACACCCTGACGGGAGCTGGTCTTACTCTAAAGCCACTCAGCAGTACGACGTGTGCTTTAGCTCAGACACAATGAAGAGTGACGTAGTGGTTTTCCCCTCGCCATTTCCGCCTGCAGACGCAGAGCTGATCAGCATTAATGGAGGGGACACTTTCACTCGGACACAGACTCTCCCCAGCACTGGGAAGGTAAGGGCTTTCATTGGCTTTACAGTTTCGGTATGTGAGCTTATGCTGCGGGCTTTGTTTGATCTTACTTGCAACTGTTTGACTGTTTTAGGCACATAGCACTTCATAATTCAATTTCTTTGAAGATTTTTAGTGCTCGTGGTCATTGAATCAACTAATAGCAGCAGTAAAGGTGAATGCACTTCTGGTGTAAGCATGCAGTTGAGGTGGAAGCTTAATATCAGGAATGAACGAAACACTTTCCCACAGATCTAGACACTGGGAAGGTAAGAACATGATGGTTTCGGAGTGAAATAAAAGCTGGATTTTTTGTTATCATGTGGCAAAAGTTCATGTTTTACCTTTTGTGGTGGAAACTTTATCTTGTATATTGGGTTCCCTTCATGGCAGTTTCAATATGTCAATATTAACACATTTCCTTAACTTTTAGCTGTTACAACACCTTGCACCTTTAGCTTCATATAATTTACATAATTTCAGCTTTTTATTTAGCAGTTTACATTGCCTGTGCTAGAAATGGCTTGAGTAGTCAGTTAGTAGATTCACTTGCAAAACTGGATTCAAGTCAACATCACTTGTTTGTATTTTTTATAGCTTTTGTGAGTAATACATCAAAGCTGAATTGAATAGACGCCCAAAAAAGTCAAGACAGTTGAATTTCATTTAAGAAATTAGCTAATTTTGACAAAACAGCTGTTACATGTGTTTAAGCTTGGGTCTGTTTAGTATTTATCCTAGATGATTTGTTCTAAATAAACTTTTATCCAGCTTATATCCCATCATGAAATACAACAAATTATATGCATCCATGCACATGGCTAATAATAATTTATAGGCATACTACTTAGATGTTTCAGTTAGGCCCACTTTTTTTGGCCCTTTCTTACTAGCCCAAACCTTTTTCTGAACATATTCATCACTGTCTGCAATGATATTAATATTATACAAGTTTGCTACAAGTATATATTCATGTTGCTCTTTCACACTTTGTGTCTTCTTGATTTTGCCTTGGGAGACTTTTCAGCACCAAGGACAGCGACCGCACTGCGCAGGCTCAGATACACTGACTGAAATGAGAGGTGTGATGCAAACTTTCTGGACAATTTGCTTTTCCTCACTATTAGCGAAGAACTGTTTTTACTCATTTTGTTACAAATTCTTAATTTGTTGACAGGAAACTGTGCATTTCATCCTACACTCTCAGAAATAAAGGTATGGCACTGTCACTGGGGCAGTACCTCTTATGTCCTTGGATGGTACCATCAAGGGTACATCTCAGTACCTTTAGTCAGGGAACATAACTGTACCATAATCCACTGAAATTATATTTTCTAAATTGTACTGACTCCACACACCCCGCCTCGCCTCCAGGCTTTTTATTTTTGTTGTGCTGTTTTAAAACATTCGGTTATGAAAAGGTACAAATACACTTGGAAAAACATATTTATGGTACAAAATTGGACTTTAAACCACTTCTGTACCTTTGAGGCAACATTTACATTGTTTGTACCTTGATGAACGAAAAGTATATCTGAACAGATTCTTTATTTCTAGCAGTGCGCTGCGATTTTGCTCATGTGAACACAAGCCAGAACACAGAAAAGCCAGCTAATTCTCTTTTGCAGCGCATGGTGTCACTGCAGACCGCGAGATTGAGAGTATTAGTCCCTTTATTTCTGTAGCACCACCCTCAGCTGGCTTCAGATAAAAAGCATCAGCAGACGAGACACAAGGTTTGGGATTATTTCTCGTCGTTCTTTCTATATTTTCTGGGACAAAATATACTATTTTGATTGCTTACTCCAAAAATCAACGCGTGATTATGGATTTCTTGGCACGTTTCAGCCTTTGGACCGCAGTGCTTCTATCTTTGTGGGCGTCATCGTCCGGACAGATTGCGTACTCCGTTTCAGAGGAAGTGAATAAGGGGACAGTTGTGGGGAATATCGCTAAAGATCTGAACATTAACCCTCATGACCTGGAATCCCGACAGTTTCAGATCGTGTCTGGATCCAATAAGAAGTACTTTGAGGTAAATCTGAAGACTGGGGCTCTGTTTGTGAGCGAGCGGATCGACCGTGAGGAAATTTGCGCGTCTAATGAAAAATGCGTTTTGAATTTGGAGGCTTTGGCGCAGAACCCACATAATCTTTACAGGATTGAGGTAAAGATTGTGGATGTAAATGATAACTCGCCACATTTTCCAGTAGACATGTTCAAACTGAATATTTCTGAGAATGCGAGCCCTGGAGAGAGGTTTCCACTTCCGGTGGCTGAGGATAGTGATATAGGCAGCAACGCGCTAAAAGATTACAGACTCAGTCAGAATGAATGCTTCTCTATAGATGTACAGAACGATGAAGAGAGTGTTTACGCAGAGTTGGTGTTGCAAAAGGCTTTGGATAGAGAGAAACAGTCGCTTATTCGCTTGATGCTTACAGCAGTAGATGGAGGAAAGCCTCCTAAATCTGGCTCACTTAATATAATTATAGACGTGATGGATGTCAACGATAATAGCCCAGTTTTCAGCATGCCTCTTTACAAAGTTAAAGTCAAGGAGAATGTTTCGTTAGGCACTAAAATTTTGTCTGTTTCTGCCGCTGATGCGGATCATGGCATAAATAGCGAAATTCTGTACTCGTTTTTAGGACATGGGAAGTCAAAAAAGAAAGACTTATTGACCATCATCCCCGAAACTGGGGATATTCTAGTAAACGGGCAAATAGATTATGAAGACAATCAGGCGATTGAGTTACGAGTTCAAGCAAGAGATAAAGGCAGTCCTCCTCAGAGCACGCACTGTAAAGTTTTAATAGAAGTTTTAGATGAGAATGACAACGCACCAGATATTATAATGACTCCACTGCTGGACAGTGTAAAGGAGGACACCAAACCTGGTACTGCTGTGGCTTTAGTTACGGTTTCTGATAGAGATGGAGGCAAAAATGGTGTAATACATGTTTCAATGAAGGGCTCTTTTCCTTTCAAACTGGAGCCATCGTATAAAAACCATTACTCCTTGGTAGTAGATGGACCTTTAGATAGAGAACGCGTTCCTCAGTATTACATCCCACTTGAAGCTGTAGATGAAGGAACTCCACCTTTATCCAGCAACAATGTAATAACCGTCCTTGTCTCTGATGTTAATGACAACCCACCGCGCTTCTCAGCACCTGTTGTGAACTCTTATCTGAAAGAGAATGGCCAAGTTGGAGATCACGTGATCAAAGTTTTGGCGGAGGATCCAGATCTTGGTGCAAATGCTGAACTTTCATACTCATTGTTAGATACTTCCAACGATGGCTTTCCAGTATCAGCAATGATAAACGTTAATTCCTTGACTGGTGAAATATACAGCATGCAGTCTTTTAACTATGAAGAAATAAAAAGATTCCAGTTCCAAGTTCAGGCCACTGACTCTGGTGTCCCTCCAC